CCAGAGAGGCTAAGTAACAAGGGGGGCTTTAGGGGAGACTTAAGGATCTCCCTGGGAAGGAGAAATAGATTTTGTGGGTGGAATAGGGGTGAGTGGGGATGGGAAAAGGAAAAACCAGGTGGGATGGGGATGGATGGAAGGAAAGAATATGGGGAGAAAGAATGGAATTAGGAGGGCATTTGGGGGGTGATGTGGAAACCCAGTGCAATGAAAACTCCCTGGAATCTAAGAGGGTGACCATAGCAAGGACTCCTAGTAATGAAGGATACAGGCCTGAACTGGACATCTTCTGTAACCAGGCAAGGCTCTCAGTGGTGGGACTGGAACATCAACCCAGCCACAAAACCCTCGACCTACAATCTGTCCTGCCTGAAAGATGTGCCGGGGCATGGTGATGCAGAACTTATGCGAGACCCACCAATGACTGGTCTAATCTGATGCCCACACCAGGAGAGGGAGACCATACCTGACGCTGCCTGGAGACCAGGAGCCGGAGGCTGGAGAGCTCAGAGACACGAGGGAGAATAAAAAATGATTGGGAAAAAAACAAACAAACAATGAAATGATTCCTAGTGATGTTCTGCTATACTCATAGAGGAATGCCTAACCCAGCTGTCATCAAAGGGGCTTCCTCTGGCAGCTGACAGGAGCAGCTTCAGAGACATATGGCCAAATACTAGGTGTAGAGAGAGTCCAGGTTGGAGTTCTCCATTGGGTCCCTCCCCTTGTAGCTTGAGGAACCTCGTGGAAGAGAGGGAGGAGGAACTGTGGGAGCCAGAGGGGTCCAGAACACTGAGAGAGCACGGTCAACAGAATCAACTAAGTAGGGCTCCCAGGGGCTCCCAGGGGCCCACAGAGACTGAAGCGGCAATCATGGAGTCTACGCGGGTCTGCGCCAGGTCCTCTGCATGTATGTTACAGTTGTTGGCTTGTTATTTCTGTGGGACTCCTGATGGTAGGAGTGAGGGTGTCTCTGACTCTTTTGTCTGCTTTTAGGACCCTTTTCTTCCTACTGGGTTGCCTTGCCCAGCCTTGATGAGAGGCTTTGGGCCTAGTATTATTATATCTTGTGCTGTATTCAATTGATGTCCCTGGGAGGTCTGGTCTTTTCTGGGGTTGGGGGTGGGGTGGGAGGAGTATTGTATAAGAGAAGAATAAATTTTAAAAGTGTATGAAGTGTATGAATGCTTAAAAAAGTCATAATCCAAAATAAATAAATAAAACTAGTAAGGTTTTTCTGAATCCTAATAGGAAAAGGAAAAAGAAAAGTTCCCCTCTTACTTTCATATTTTTTAAATTTTTATTTTGTTTTTATTATGTGGCTGCGCATGTATATCTGTGCACCGTGTGAGTGTCTGGTGCCCAGAGAAAACAGAAAAGAGTGTCACATGCCCTGGAACTAGAGTTACAGATGGTTGTAGCCACCACGTGGGTTCTGGGAACTGAACCCCAAGTCCTCTGGAAGAGCAGCCAGTGCTCTTAGCTTTGGAGCTGTCTCGCCAGCCCCCTATCCTTTGTGTATGATCCACTGAGTTTCACTGAGGTTTCTTGCATGATGTTATTTACTAGAATACAGGCAACCGATGAAGAAAATTATGCCCTTGCCCAATGACCATCAACTACCAACTGTCTCTCTCTCAGGGAGGGATAGGGCCTCATCAGCCCCTCCTCCATCCATGATAAAACATTACCAGGCCCAATCTTGTGATGTTCTGCAAGATGACCCAGCTGCAGTGAATTCATGAATGCAAGGGCTGTGCCACGTTGAGAAGTCTGTATTTTGTTTCTTCCTATCCATACTTCTTATCCACGGACTCTTACATTCTCTCCATCCCTCTTCCATATTGTTACATGAGGCTTGGTGGGAGGGATATAATTGTTCCATTTCGAGCTGAGCACTTCACTATCACTTAATTCTTAACACTATGACCAGTTACGATCTCTGTATCAAATATATACATATGAATGAGACAAGGTCTTACTCTGCAGCTCAAGCTAGCCAAAACTCACTATGTAGCCAGACTGGCCTTGAATGAAAGACATTCAATGAAAGACTACCTTGGCCTCCAAGTGCTGGGATCATCATGATGTGCCCATACCTTGCTTCTACAGCTGTAAAAATGAACTCTGTCATTTGCAGTATGGATGAGCCTATAAGACAGTTTCTTAAGTGAAATTAGCCAGACGATTACTAGAAGATCTCACTTACAGAGATGGCTCAGTGGTTAAGAGCAAGTACTACTGCTGGGGGGCAGTGGCTTATGGAAAGAAAACAAAACAAACAAACAAACAAAAACAAACAAACAAAACAAACATGCACTGCTCTTGCAGAGGACCTGAGTTCTGTTCCTAGAACCTACATCCAGTGGCCGACAGCTGCCTGTAACTCCAGCTCCAGGTGGATCTGACATCTCTGATCGCCTGTGTGCCTGCACACATGTGCACATAATCACACACAGACACGTAAATGGTGGAATCTAAACTCATACAGACTAAGGCAACGGAGAGATGGGGGGGGGCCACCAAGGCGGCAGTGCTCTGTGACACGGGAGGGTGAGCCTCAGTGACTACAGCATGTGACATACTGCTCGAGGGGACCGTAAACCTCACCACAAGAAGATGACACTACAGACAGTCAGTCAGTGTCACCATGTCACACAGGAAAACACCATGTTCTGCTCCAGTTACAGTAACTGTCAGAAAAACACAGGTTTCCATCTTCACATTTCTTCAAATGTATTTCAAAGCATTTGTTTTTCATGATTCCAGCCAACCACCTCTAGAGAAAGGCTTCCCTATGACCTTACAAAGAGAACATAAACTACTATGAGCCCTTACGCTTAAAACTTAGGGGAAAAAATCCTAAAATGTTGCTATAAAATTAAAGTTCTTTTCTTTGATTTCAACCCTAGTTTATTTTATTTTTATTATTTTAATCATTTGTGTGTGTGTGTGTGTGTGTGTGTGGCTATGGCTGATGTGGTGTTAGATCCACCCGGAGCTGGACTTAGAGCTGCTTGTGAGCTGCTAATAAGGGTGCTGGGAACCAAACTCAGGTCCTCTGCAAGAGCAGCATAAGCTCTTAACCACGGAGCCGTCTCTCCAGGCCGACAGCCTTGAGTTTAACCCTGGACTGTCACTGGAGAGACATGAAATGTCGATGATGATCATGTGTGTATAGGAAGATTCAGGTTTTTGAGTTATGGATCTTATGCAAGTGGTAAAAGTTTAATAAAAGGAATAAAAATTACAAAGGATGAGCCAAGAGATCATAGAAATGTGCTAGGTGTTGCTCAGTAGTGGAGCACTTGCCTAGCTTGTGTGAGGTCCTGGGTTCAAGCACCAGTACAGCCAGAAACACAGGAAAGGCCATGGGAGGAGCCCGTGCAGACCACAGGCTCTGAGCTTACAGTACATTACTTCCACTTTAAATCCATTTCTAGCCTCACACCATGAGCCTGTGCCTATGAAATCAAAACCTGAAGTTGGAAAAGAGCTAACACACACAAATACTAACTTGAACTTCCTCCCAGAACCTTGAGTGCAGGTTACTGTGAGTACAGGTTACTGTATGGGGAGTCGTCAGTCCGGAGCAGCTCAGAGGAGTACTGAGTACCTCCAGGGAAACACAGTTGTACATACCTGAAAGTCACATGATACTGATACACTGCTTCATTATGACACTGGATTTTGATGAGGTTCAGTCCTAAAGACTGAGGGGTTCCTTTTGATCCTTGCTTGATCAAAAGCTCTCTGGAAAAGAAGGAA